CTGATAACCGCATTGGCTATGTAGTGCAGAGTCAACCATCTTGACGCTATTTTCTATCTAGTATACGATAGTAGTACTCATGACAATCTAAAACCTGTAAGCTCAGTCGATCAAAAAGTGACCTACCATACACGATTAGGCAATATGTAACGTTGGGTGTCAACTGAAACTTAATGCTTGTATGGGAATGACACAAAGAAGGCAAAAAAAAACAGCTACTTTATTTTACTGTAGCTTGGAGCGATATCTTTTGTTCCAGATATTTTTAGAATTCGTAATTGCTGACTATGCCTGTCTTGACTTCTACCTAATCGCCTCTGGATTTGTGGTTGTGGATTCCAAATATACTACTTAAAAACCGACGTTGCGAGGTTAGACGCATTACAGAACCCTATGGTAATATTATCACTTCGCACTAAAGATAAGAAACGAGTCATGTTTTGACATGACACATTTCCATTATTCACGTTTTATGCGAAAATTGATATAACAATGAACGCAAACATATAAATGTGGAACGCACCGATAACTGTGGGAATACATTAAGTTGAAACGTACCGTATTGACCAGATAACGCCGTCGATATTCGTAAATGCAGAAAGCTTTTTAGCAATTAGCTGTTTTTATGATAATTGCCTTGATTACGATACGTTTTAAAATACAATAAATTATGTTCGCGATTATAATAATATGGCAGTGCCATAATGGCAATTTAAATACGTGATTAATAAAACAGTGAAACTTTCACATTTATTTTCGTTATATTCGTACTTAGTTTATAAATGTGTCGATTTGATACGATCATTTATAATACAAATTACCTATATAATAATTTCCTTTCATTTTCAACTGATTCCAAACCACCTATATAGTGAATCGATATTGAAGGTTTCCAGAAAGATCTTTCTAGTTCACCAGCATCTTTTATGAGAGATACCCAAAGTATTCTTAATCCACACCACCTAATCTAACAGTATTGAATGTCGATACAGTCTGACCATACTGTACTAAACACCGTTAGTTCTAGTCTAGGTTTTCCAAAACGAAATATCGCTTCGTGGTACTCACTATTATCTGTGCTGCTACCTTGAGTGCTTTTAGGCAGATCTAAAATTTACCAGCATTTGATAATTTTCCTTTTTCCCGTCAGTGAAGTTAGTTTTTGTTAGCGGATCTCGGAAATTGAATTTTGGATCAACTTAAAAATTCTTAAGTAACTTCTGCATCTGGGTGAAGAGTCAAACGTAAGAAAAATAAATGCTAATATTCAATTATTGTTTCTTTTCCATTTTGAGTCGCGTTTGTTTGAACACATTTTCCATGATCTATTAAATTACAATTACACTTTTGTTTCAATGTATGGGACTTATTATTATATTTTCATAAGTAATATCATAAGGGCATCTATTTTTTCTAATTCGTGCAGGTACAAAAATCCTCGTCGTAGGGCCGTATCGTCTTGGCGTCCTTAATTGTCATTGTCTTTTCTCTTTTTTCAGAAAGGCTGGGGTGTTTCTAGATTCACCTATTCCATATCAGCGTCAGCGCTCCCCTATTTATGAATTTTGAATAATGGGAGATTTCAGGCTGATAAAACAGATGATATAAATTAAAAGCATGAACATTTTGATGCAAATAGGTATTTGTGACGTAACCTCAAAATACAGCGCTGACACGGAACAGTAGAAAACTATGAAAATCATGGAGGCCATAATAGGAACGACTGACGATACGGCCCTTAGACTCGGATTCTTGTTACCACCAGCACTCATGCTTCTTGTTAGAATATTACTTAGCAACGTGTTTTTTCGATTTCATTCACAGAAAAAAGATAGATGCCCGAATGATAGCTTACAAAATTTATTGATAACAAAATCAGAAAAATTGTTTAGCGTCATTTTCTGGTGTTCTGGGAGACCATAATTACTTGTTATCAAAGGTATTGTAAAAAACTGCTGACAAGTGCTGTCATACAATTTTTCCATCTAGAAACCATTTGTAATTAAAACTTGCGGTTTTGTAATTGGTAGAAATTAAAACGAGGGAAATAGTCATAGGTATTTATCTCATTCTTGGAGTACTAGTTTCACTAATAGTTATACTGTAATTTTCATCTTTGCTGTACGACATAACACTGGGATGATGTTGACCTACATCAATAAGGAAAAAGTACCTTTCTTCGTTTTAGAGTTTTTGTAAAAAACTGGTTTTTAAATTATCCGACTTTTTAGGCTTAACATGACTTGCTTAGGATATTTTGGTACGGGGGTGACGTGTCGTTCCCGAGACACCAGTGTTCTTATATTGCAATCTCAATCGTTGACTGGGCTGCCGTTGCTTTTTATAAGATTTTATTTAACTTGACTTGTTTGTTAGTATGTGTGGGACAAATCTTAGAACTGAATTTTGAACCAATTAATCTCAGAGTTTGCACATATATTTGGTTTGTGTGACAATACAAATGCCGCCATTGAATCCGATATGGCGGATGCTGTAAAATAGCGAACATCATTCGAATAGTAACTCCTAGTATGGGTATCAAAAAATGCAATAAATCCAATATGACGACCGCCGCAAGGTGGCGCTCATGATACTATAGTCACCTTATACAAGGGGTATTAAATAAAAGGGCTTGGTGAGGTAAACATATGCAAATTGAGCTCATACTAAATCCAATATGGCGACTGCCGCTAAATGCCTATTTATATTTTCCACGGTAACAGCTATGATATGGGTATCAAATGTCAGGGCGTAATAAAACATAATAAGCAAATAACCGTCTTTCTAAATTCCGCGATCGATGTATCTACGTATTTGTCTATCGAATTTTTTTATTATAAGTAAAGTAATAAGGTAAGATATTTTATGGAGCCCTATTAATAAAATGTATTAAAATTATATAGAAATTACCAAACTAATTATTTGACATAACTACTAAAAAGTAAAAAATGAATAATATGAAAAATACATTCTTGAACAGAAGCTTTTATTCGGCTGATAATAAAACGAACTAACGGTATATTTTTCCAATTGGAAATATTATAATAAACAATAATGCAGCTCCTTTATCTCAAATTTTAAAAAAAGTGTGTTACGTTTTAACAGTAGGAACGGAACAAGGGTGTAATACGTTTTCATAGGAAAATTTGAGAGTGAGCTTGATTATCGTTTGAATATGAAATGAACTAAAAAAAGTATCTTTCAAATTTTAGTTATCAGATAAATAAAAACTTGTTTTTAAAACTGTATTATTTTGTTTATTATTGTCTTACTTTCATTCGTATACTGAATTCTTGTTCGTTTATCCAACCCTTGTTGTTTTGGTGACCCGCTGCATTTTTTCGCGTATCTTTTCTTCCTTTATTTCTTCCAGATACAACGTCCCACTCTGATTGAAAGGCTAAGAACTCCTAAATGTTGGTAATTATAATGACCAAAAGATAAGAAAAGGAGAAAAGTACTTCCTAATTAATAGCACTAAGGCACTCAGTTTCATTCTATATATCTTATCTTTCATTTAATTACGCTGGCAAAGTTGGATTATATAAAGCGAAAACGAAGAAAGTATTTAAAAATGGCGAGAGTTACAACAAAAACTAATTCCAACTTTTTAATTAAATTTGATTCTGCCAGAGAGAACGGTTGTGTTGTAAATTAACTAACTTATTTAATATATCCCATCCTCTATTCTGTTCCTCTGTAGCGTGTTTCATTAACGTGTTCACGATATTCGAATGTGATTACTGTCTGATTCCTAACTCTTTAGCATAGTGCAGTCACACTAAGCACGAATTGGTACCAAAGGCGTTCCATTAGAATGTTGGCAGGTATAGCAAACTCAGTCATACTCGATCAGAGCGTAGTACAATGTTCCTAAAGCTATTCTCAAATACAGTTCAATGATTCAATCAAAGCAATTACTTGAGATTTTCATGATCCTCATCGATTTCAAGTGACGTAATCTAATGTATCACTTGAAACTTATCTTGTGGTTTTCTTACTGATAAGTTTCTATGTTTGTTTGGCCGTTAAATGAAACCACATATGTATGCTTGAAATGGTATTTACTGGCGACGACGTCTCGATCACGGTGATGTAATCTATTGTGATAGTAGTTACTAAAACAATATTGAGACAAATTGGCTTTTTCAAAAGAAAGTTTATCTATAACAATAAAGTGTAATGAATACGTGCAAGCGACCCAAAAAACTCTACTAGATGAGTTTCTTTAAGTTTAGCAAAGATCTCAAATTACTGAAAACGAATCCATGACATTCTTATCTTGCATGCCTGTGAAATATTAAGCGTAACAGTTACACAGATTTTCTGGAAACTGAAACTTTTTGATAAAATTAACGTTTTCACTATCACCATAAATGTTTTCTCATGCTCTCGTCCCTTACAACGCGCAATTTGCACCCCTCCAAAATTTTCTGAAAATGATTAGTATACGTGTTAGTTCTTGGTATGCCAGCACCTTATGCCTTTTTGTGAAAAGAAGAGTGACGCTTTTCCAGCTATAGACTAACAGACAGACAGACGAGATAAATTAGTGATAAGATTTTTCGTGATGTACATCATGCTACATAACAACATCCAAATCGCCTATTTCTGCGCCTTGAGGTAACGTTCCGCGCGCAGGCAGCAACAGGAGACTGCGATCGGCGACTGCGTCGCAGTACTAGTCGCATAGAACTGATAAAGGAAATCTGCCACAGTGTCAATGTTTAGTTTAAACTCAGATTAAGAGTCGCATTCAAAAAGGACTCTAAGTGCTGAGTCCGGTTTGGAAACGCTTCCTTGATAGATGTTCATCAAGGGATGATCTAACATTTTCACAGTAAGCTGTAACAGATAAACATCATTGAGTTAGATTGTTCTGTGCAGGCCGTATCTACTTAGCATTTTGACGATATATTTAGAAAGACATGATTTATTTTTGTGCTACATATTTTTAAACAATGCGAAATAGTAATGTATTTGATTTTTCGAATTTATAGAGGAATCGAAACCAGTAAGCTGTACGTATAGGCAACCAGTATTACACCGAACTGTGAGCAGACACCGGCCGGGGTATTGCGCAAAATATCCATATAATTTCAAAAAACATTCGATATAGTATCAGCTTGTGGAAGGTAAGTAGAACGATTTTTTAATCGCTAGGGAAATAACCATAGTTTGGTTTCTGATGTGCAATGTAATATGAAAGGAACTTTTCCTCATTGTGCTCTGAAACATTCCAAAATCCATTCATACAGAATATGATTTTGCTGGCTGTTACAAAATCATTCTACTTACCTTTGTTTGATGTTCTCCTACATTTTTTCCAGGAGGCTACTTGTTCTTTTGGATATATTATTTTCGTTAAGACTTTTCTCATTTGTTCCCAAGCATTGTTCTTTAAAGTAACTCAGCAGCTTCCATTTTTTTTTAACGATCCTTTTAAATTTGTCCGGTATCTCAATCAGATGCATTTTCTCTGCCTCATTAATTAATTTTTTTGTTAGTTTTGGTATTACATCATTTATACTCATGAAACAATGACAAAAGATTTGACTTAGTATTGGTTGTCTATACTTATTGATTCCGATTCCGCGATAAATCCAAGAAAGCAATTACATTCTATTTTGCGTTGTTTACTAATATTGAGCACAAAAATAAACAATTCCATCCCAAATTTATCATCAAAATGCTAAATTGATCCGGCCAGCAAAGAGAAATCTTAACAGCTATATCAGCCTGTAATGTCATCTGTTCCAGCCTAGTGTGAAATACAAGTATTAAATCTTCCCTTGAACGTCCCTCAAGAAAACATTATTGTTACATTGTTTCCAAGGATAGATCAACCCTCAAACGGCACTCAACCCTTAACGGACGTCAATAAAATAGACTTTAAAAGTGGTATCAAAATCGAATAAGAGGCATGAAGAACATGTCTCTTGACATACTTTTTCAACTTTGGATTTGACTACTCAATGAAAATGACAGGTTTTCTCCATGAGAGCTATGCCACCAGTCTCGCGTTTTGTCGTGGTCTCCGGTTGCTGAGTCCGCGCAAAACAGCACCTTTAATTCAATTGTTCCTTCATCCGCTGGACCATAACTGGGTGGCTTTCGCGTATAGTGATTGCGTTTATATTAAAACGGAAATTGGCCGTACTTGTTCAATAGAAATTTAAATCCGAACGATACCCGGAACTCCCGCGGGCGAATATACAATGTATATCGAAAGTTCTCATTTTCGTGGGGATTACAGACATTTTGCATTATATTGCTCCATAAGGTATGTCGCTATACCGGACTTGATGATATTGCGGGTATTGTATAGAGCTGCCGACCATAAAGTATAACGTTATAACAGTGAATGTAAGGATAAACGCTAGAACGGGGTAAATAGTTCCAGCTCCTAAACCAAGCAAAGTTTCAGACGTACAATATTTTTGAGATTTTGTGATTGAAGGTGGTTTGAACCATTCTGCAGCAAAACTGTGCGTATGTCCAAAATACCACAATTTATTTTTAAACAGTATCTTCAACAAGCGTTGGAAAATCTAAAGTTTGCCAATTTTGGCCTAACACACCAAGATCAAAAATCACTTTAAAATAAATTAGTCCTCAAATTATCTTCCTCTTCAGCTTTAACTTAGACCCCAAAAATTATGATTCATTTTACAGAAAAGTTACTGAAGACCTTTTTTGTCCACAATGTTCAAAATAAGCTGAGCGGCTATCACTTGTTTCATGTTAAAGGACATTCAACAAGCACGATTATGAAAAATCGAAAACTTGTCTCGTGAATTCAAGGTTATTACCTCACCTATTATTCCAGCACCTATTCAAAAATGACCACTGGATATCGTGGAAGCTGACAAACAAATTTCCCACATTTTCCTCAATTTTTTTTCTAAAGCTACAAATCTAGCATGCCTATCCACGCATTTTTTACCTGCCAGAATCTGGCATTTTTGCACTACTTCCAAAGATACAGCGAAGCGGTGATATTCCAAGAGCCAACTGTAAATGATTGGTTACATATATCACGATCATGTTTGCTGGATATGCTTTAGCATGAAACAGGTTTGCTTAAACAATTTTTTTCAGATTGCTTGGATCATTCTGAACAAAAAAGACTTTCAGTAATTTAAGTACAGCTAAAAAAAATTTTCATTCATCAAACTCCGTTAATATATTTAGAAACATCCGATCGAAATTAAATAATGTCAAAGCAATACATTCAAAGAAACACTAAAACAATGGTAACACAAAATGCCCAATAATAAACTCAGAAAGCATATTTATTCGATTTAAACGCAAAAAACATTATAACCAAATTATATAAAATACCGAAGTTATAAACAGCGCATAGATTGTACATTTTGCACTATAAATTATGTATTTCAATTGAAAAATTCGTATATACGTTATTAATTGTAATGTAAAATCCACGCACAAGGATATCGTCCTTTTGTGGATGATAATTTATTCACATTCAACGTTAAGTGTTTAAATCAGTTCAATTTTCTCTAAAGTTTACCATTTTTGGATTCAGTATTTGAGTCGCCAAGTATTTAAACTTAAACTAAAACCGTGCTCTACAATACCGTGAAAAGTATTTTTAGAGTAGTTTATTTATGAGTGATTTTTAACCTTGCCTCTTAGGCCAAAATTAGCGAACTTTTGATTTTCGCGGACTGTTAATAGTACAAATTGTCGCCAGTGTCTTCATTCTGTAAACTTCCATGTTTTTCAATCATCCGGAATTCTATAATATTAACAATGTATTCTTTTGTTACAGGTAAATACTATGATGAATTCTTGAATAACTAGAGAGATTTGGTGAGTTCTATTTTTAAAATAAAAGCTTGTAAAAATCTAAATCCAGAAGAAGTGTTATGAGGTATTTTGAGGCTTTGTTGGTACGAATGTTGAACTGGCTGAGGTCACTTACATGTTTTGAAGAATTGTACCATACCAGAACAAAGGAACGATCAAACCGGCGAGTTCTTTAAGCACTGACTTCGACCGAGTTTGAATTATGAACAGAAGCTTAATGAGTATATCTGCTGTAGAATCATGAAGAGTATATCGATAAAAAAGGGCCAGATGATCACTACCTGTTAGGAAAGTGTCAACGATCAGTCACATTGCCCTTCTCTGATCGCATCAAGTAGGTGTGGACATTTTTTAATCATAGCTATTGTAGTTGGGGCAGTAGATCCCCAGAGAAGCGATTCTAGATTTTAGATCAGGTCTTACCTGACTTTTATGGAAAGTGGAGAGGCTAAGTGGTGAACTGGATAAATAATTCAAAATTTTCCGTTGCTGTTATAATTGTATAGACGCGTTTTACAAAAACATGTCATTAGAAATTTAAACGTCTAAGAGCCGGAATAAATATATTTCCTTCACAACTTGGGCATCCATTCAAATTGGCGTTCGGCCGTCTTTTACCGGTTCAGTTATAAAATCTTATAGACGTCACATTTACCCGAGTCCACAGGCAATATTAACCTCTCATATTTCATCATAGATTAAGTCGTTGTCAGTATCCATCGGAGTGTAAGTAGTATACATGACTTTGTATTCTGTTTTGAGCGCCATCTGAAAAAAAGCAATTCCTAATATATATCTGAAAAATGCATCATTAATTGCAAATACATAATCGCAAATATACCAGAAAAACTGTTAAGAAGATATACAAAGCTATGTTTCACGTATTATCTCAGTAATAATCTTTTTGGATTGTTAGCAAAAGTATTTTGAGGCTTTTCAGATTCTCAAAAGCAAGGGGTAATCAAAAATTTCCCTTGTTTTAGAAATTTCAGAATAACGGCAAAACATTTTTCAAAAGTCAGAGTCGATGATACTAAATATATACAAACGATTGTGGACTGCGTGTATATGTATGTATATCTTCTCACTAATCATTTCTATAAAATTTTTACCACAAAAGCGTATGCCATACTAAAACGGCTCATAAAATGTATAAATTTAATTCAAAATTAATTTTATAGAGGTATTATCCGCGCGATTTGCGGCCTGTTTCGGGCGTTAGGGTTAATATCGGTTTGATGGATTTTACACATCATTCGCGCGTGGGAACTGCGGAAATAATCGCGGATCTACGTTTAAAATTTATTTTGTGCTGTATCCTGTTTGCATTGTTCTGTATATTTCGCTATATGCCATCATTACACACGCGTTTAATGTGTATTGTTTCGATACGTTTAACGGGCAATTTCAAATGGTTTTGGTCCGAAATCCTACATCTTTTGAAAAAAAGGACAAAACTTCACAGCATCTGACAAAAAAGGGTGAGCGAGTGAGTTATGGAGAAATTAAATTTTGGAAAGAGCTGTATTCTACAGAAGTAAATATCAATACTTATAGCCAAAGGCCCATAAAGATTGTAGAGGTTTAGTAGAGATTGTTAGATGTAGATGTTCTTCCCAGATACAAGTAAAAATTTCGACCGAAACCCTAAAGGTTCCGTTTACGGAGTCCCGTTTGCGTGTTGCGTTGTTACAGGCGAATGGAAAAAATGGAATGGAATGTGTTTTTAATTGGATGAAAAAATGTAAAAACTCTTACGTATGTGGTGCGTAGCTCACAAATCTGATGCGAGTTTTTCGCCTAGATCGACGGAAGGTCCCAGCAGTCCCATTTTTCTATTCCAAATAGGACTTCGTGGCACTTTATCTTATTTAGATAGTTATACTTGACATTCGCGCCCCATACTATGTACTAAGTTTCCTTCGCTTTCGCCATCGAGACACGTAAATGGAAATTTTGTGTTGAGAAATTGAAAATTCCAAGAAAGCTGTCAAAAATTCTTGGATATCTGTAAATGAAGATATAGTTCGAGATTCTGTCGCTCCATTGTATCTAGTATCCCAGGGTGAAAAAGAAAACTGGAGGAGTTGTTCTAAGAAGGTTTTTCCGTAGTTGTGGTAGAACTTTCAAATGTATCCATAGATGGACGACTAATGACTTGTTACTGACGGCTGTATAAAAAAAGAACGGCATTGATAGTCCAGCACCAGCGGTGGGATCGCCAATTATTATCGGACAAAAACGGCAACAAATACATATATTGATTCTATTATACGCAAAAGACCAACGTAATTGCATATGATAAATAATCAACCCACATGGAATCTATTTCTAGCAGGCAATATATATATATATATATATATTCTTCGAAGTTGAGTCATTTATTTTAACAGTGAGTAGATCTGATCAAAAGAAATGTTTTTTTCTGGTAAAATTAAAGTAACAAAGTTATAGCCCTTTAGAAGTTTGAGTACCGCCCTGTCTCAATAATAATATCATGTGCTCGTGTTTGGCAACAACGGATATAAACCGCCTTATCGGTTCATCGCATCGGAAACAAAAAAGCGAAAGAATTTGGAACAATGTTTTTACAATTATTTTATTCAGTTCAGTTATACATACAGTCAGTGTCAGTCGGTTACGCGTGTGAATAGTGTCTGTTGCGTGGCTCAAACGAAATAAAAAATGGCACATGTTTATGCGGATCGGTTTCCCAATCGAGTGCAACCAACCCCTCGTGCCTTTGTTAATGTAGTACAACGGACTCGTGAATCAGGTGACTTAAGACCTCACAGGGGACCTCACGATCAAATACAGGTCCGCACTGAAATACTTGTCGGGAGGATACTTTATAAAACAAGGTAAATATTTTTTTTTAATTTTTTTTTATTTTTACACACATATTTTGGTTTATCTTCCTTCTACAATCATTATCTGAAAATTAATGACTCAACTTCAAAGTTACCCTGTATATATATTGTAGTATTATAATTTTTTCGCGAGTTTTATACGAATTTCTAATTAAATTTGTTTCTGCTCTATACTTGACGTGTATGGCAACATTGTATATCCATACTACAGAAAGTATTGTCGTTAGGTTTGATGTTTCATGATGAGTTTTATGTCCATTATGGCCGTCGGTTATGTGAATTTATATGAGTAGTTATGTTACGAGGAATAAATCCTGTTACATTCAGCTTGTGCCATAATTTCTGCTCTCGCCGTTAGGTCACCTACATTTATGTTTGTTTAACGTAGAGGTATCTGACGTAGTAGTAGTAGTAACCACTAAAACAAGAGAGGGTTGAATTAGCTCCGCTAGAAAAAAATCATCTACACACATGTATTACAGGAAAACCAACTCATACAGCCTTTGTTGGTACTATTATGTTACGAAAGCGAATCAAATATGAACCGGACTTTTGTTTTAGTAATTTTGTTAGTATAGTAAATACAAGTTTACTTCCATATTATTTTTCTACATAATCTCCTCTCTTATTGATCGGATCCATCGGATCGAAATTTTCTTAATTCCCTCAACAGAGAATGAAGCTAGTCGTGTCAGTAGCCAATTGTGCACGAACGTTTCCACACCTTTGCCATCATCAAAGTAGTGACCTCTCAGTTCTTGTTCAAGTGGCCCAAACATGGCTACAAATCGGGGCTGCACGGCGGGTGTTCAAGCGTTTCCACAATAAATTTTGCGTAATTTTTCTTGATGTGTGTGGCCGATCTTTATCATGGAGCAGCATGGCACTTCGAATAGGCATGTCTAGCCTTTTTTGCCGATAGGTCAGTTTCATTTCTTTAAGCTGTTGGCAATAGTAAGCAGCATTAACTATACGGCGATCGTTAAGAAAATCAACTAGCAGTACACCTCTGGAATTCCAAAGTACCATTACAAGAACTTTTCCTGCAGAAAGATTGGTCTCTTTTCGCGGTACTGCCTCTCCAGACTTTTGCCATTCCATGAAAAAATTATTTTGCCAGTCGTATACGTGTGTCCTTGAACGTGTCTTATTGCCGAACTGTACCGTTAATCGACGCAAAATTTCTGAAGGCTTTACGCCCTCCAACGACAAAAAATTTATGATAATGCACTGCGCAACAGACGTGTGCACCTCTTGCTTATACATGTTGCTACTAACAGCTCATCAACTTCGGCGTACCACGTACCAAACTGACTGACTTCCCTCTTCCTGACATCCTCACCCAACATGTACCAAGACATCGCTCCACTCCATTCACCTATGGTGCGTTAAACAGACAAGTCCAGTTCATATTACCGAAAATACCACCAACCTGTGGACATATATACGCTGCCGTCAGCATTGTGAACTAGTAAATCACCATGTTTAGATGGTCGTCAACTGAAACCAAATATATTTTGTTATTTTTGATGTACTTTGAAGAAGGCCACCGAAGTTAATCCAACCTTTGTGGTTTTATTTGCCGGCCAGCAAAACATAGAAATTCCACGACTTAATCTTGTCACCGTATAGGCTACGGGCTTGTGTGTTTATGAACCGGGCTCGCCCATATACTGATTAATAGTTTAGAGTGTGATTCCGATTGACACTTTAACTCACGCTATATTGACTCTACTATCAGTAGCGATACGCGGTTGAACATAACACATTTATGGCGTTAAAATAAACGTCAAATTAGCCGATCACGACCACAGCTATATTGACATCCGATAATGAACGGACACCGAAATATCGTCCCAAAAATGTTTTCCCAACATCGTGGCTCGGCCTGCGCGGCGCCAGTTGTAACTCATCATCCGCGTAAATCTGTTACAAACTATCTATGATTGCAGATTATTTGTTTATGAATGAACGCTTACAGGGTCGTATTTCGAAAATGTGCATCTGAGTTGCAAGGGCTTAAAAAACAACCTACATTTAACATCTTATCAGATGGTCAATTTTTGAGATGAGCGGTAAGAATAACTGTTACTAAGTGAGCTTGTTTATATTTTCCCTTGCTTTCCCGAAGAA